CTTAATAAGGCCATAAACCTTTTAAACTGGAATAGAGTATAACTACTAAAACTTGATAAAAACCATAAATATTATTTCAAAAAAATTTATTTGCTCAAGGCTATTTTCGACAAAGCACAAACTTCGGCGAATTAATTCTGTATAATGAACTACCAACAAATTATGTTTCTAGGCAGATCTAAATTGTAAATGTTATCCTGCTAAGGCCAATTAAGTAAATGAAACCATCCGAACTTTTCCATTAACACCATAAGAAATCCCTCTCGGGTGTTCAGATTTATTCCAAAAGTTACGTCGAGGGATAAAAAGTTCCTTAATAATGTAACTGGGACAGTGATAATAAATTTGGTTTTCATTTAAACTTATAAAAAAAGTATTATTTGCTTGTAGCTTATAGAATTAGGTAATGTGTTATTTTAATGAAAATATTAATAATTTTTTTTTATCAATAAATCATAACCTTGACATAAATCCAACTCAGTTTAGGAAACATTACCAGAAGTCCAGAAACAGGCGTTTGATGACCAGAGGACTGAATTTAAGAGTATCAGACTAAAAGGAGCCGCACTGCGCATGCAAAGCGCACGCACGTTAAGCGAGTATAATATGTTGACGGTTCGCAGTGGCTAACCGTTTAGAAAAAAATTTGCATGGCCTAGACATAATTTGTTCAGGGTCTAAAGGGTGAAATTTATAGCGTGGGAGCAACGTTTAAAAACATTGTATGTACATGCACTACGTGAACATCGACGCTTACGTTCGCAGTATATGACAGTTGTCAAGGAAGTCGGTATAATAAAAAGAAGAAAATTTATCTTTACCGTACTTGCACCGCTTCTTAAATCGTAATCTTTTCTTTTCTCAAGTATATCATCTAATTAAGAACTTTAAGCTGAATAGACACGTACATATGAGTCAGAAGACTGTTTCGAATTTCATCATTCATCATTACAGCCCCTTCACAAGTCCACTGCTGAACATAGGCATTCTGCGTAGATCGGACCAAAATTAATAATTAAAAAAAACTGAAGGTACTCCGGGTTAACTCTGACATCGGGACGTCAATCACCTCGGCCCGTGACCATGAAACGTCGGGAATTAATAAAAATAAGAAAATAAGTTAAGTAGATAAAATCCGTAAAAGTAGTTTTATTCAATAGGCCTTACTAGTCAAAGTACGTTTATCAATATTTTTAAATTTCTCTACTAGTTCTGTGACGTTTTTAAGAAATTTTGTATATTTTAATAATTTCCATAAAATTTATGGAAATTATTAAAATATACAAAATTTCTTAAAAACGTATATGAACCCTAATGTAATGTGTAGTTTTTTTGACTTTTTAATGTATAATATAACTATTTCAGTGGAGAAGATCAAATTTCAGTATTTTTTTTACAGAATCGTCTGAACATCACAAACGAATTATTGATATAAAAGTACAGCTTGAATTACACAACAAATACCAAACAGCTTATCAAATACAAAAATGTCAAATAACGATAAAATATTAAAATCAATTTTTTTATCAAACGCAGTGATGTCATATATTCGATAAACCTACGTTACGGGCATTTGGAACTTGCACACATTTATATTATTATATATTATTAAAAACATTACTTCCAAATGAAGTCATTAAATAACAATTTTCTGACCACACTTTTTATGTTACACACAGGTTTTGCTAATGTGCACGAGGATGAATAAAAACAATAATTTAAGAAATAATATTTTGAGAAAATTAATGAAAACCTTATCTGATGATGTAAAAGTATTTCCTGGCTATTCGAATATAATCATGAAAAACATAAAACTTAACTTTTAGGCGCATTAATACCGAGTCGTACTCGCGCATGAAGGGTTCCGTACCATCACACACGTTTCTAGTAGGGGAGCCCCCTTTAATTTTTAATTTATTATTATTATTATTAGTTGTTATAGCGGCAACTACAAAATATGTATGTGCTTAAACTTTTCAATTTTGTTTTTTTAAGAGATAAAAATTAAAACGAATTTATAAAATGCGTTCTCAAAACTCCTAACTTGCTTGAAAATTCATTCTTAAACTTGTATTTTATTATTTTGACCAATTATTACGCTTTAGAAGAAAAAAATGGAATAAATTATAATATTATAGCATTTTTTGACTTATTGGAGAAGGTCCTTTAGCTGTATATTCGTTTTTATATTTGTTATACCTTTGCCAATTGTTGTGAAAGAAACTTAATAAAATAGGCTATAGGTACTTAATTTTAAATGAGACCACATTAAAATTAGAGGAAAAAAACTGACCAAGTGCATGTCGGGCCACGCACAATGTAGAGATAGGGTTCCGTAGTTGCCCGTCACAATATGTGGGCCTCCTTGATAATAAGCATAATAAGTAAGTTCGCAGTTTGACTGCTATAACGGCTAAAATGGGCCCAAATATCGTAACTGAAGGACTTATTTTCAAATTTTCAGCCATATTAGGGAGTGGTATTCAAAAAAGATTAAAAAACTTTTCGATTTTGATAATAATACCTTGTCTATCCCGCAAATGAAAAGGTAAATCTAATAGTAGTAATTAATATAAGTCGTTTTCTTCATAAATTGTTTATTTTTGACAGTTTCCAATAACATTACAGTTATTAATGCAGTTAGTTTTAGGTCATTTTCTATGGAGTTGTAACGAAATTTTTACTAATCCATGTGCATTTTATAAGTTGGTCAATATTACTCGTTAACTTCTTAATTCTACTTAGGTGCGATAGTTTTCCTTTTAACTTCAATACAATATGTACTACTATTGTGTACACTTTTTACATTTTCTTTTTCTTTTTACATTAAAAAGTCAATTTCCTAACACGGATATCAAATACCTAAAGTTAAAGAACAATTCATTGAAATATATCTCACTTATAACCGTTTATTATTTTTATTGATAGACCAAAACTGATATTGTACAAATATATTTTGCTAACTAAACTATCGATGTTGGTTAAATATAGATATTTATATAGGTTTATAGGATATTTTAGCAATTATTTAAAAAAAGAAACAAACGGACGGACGATCCACCTGATAGTGAGTGAAAGAGGACTACAAATACCTGTGGACTAAGATGAAATGCATCGAAAGCCTGTAATTATTCTGGCTTATATATTATGTATATATACCCTTCAGATCGAAACGAAGCAGTGCTAGCTGCTGTTTGGCAACAGAAAAATTTATGAGAGTGGTAATCGCCCAGAGAATTTTTGGTGAGTGTAAAAAACTGGAGACCCTTCTCACTGGAAAGAGGCAATCCATCTTAGTCCTCAAGGGTGAGAACGCAACAGTATTTTGATTCTTAACGAATCGATCGAAATAATATCGGATTGAAATAAACGAGGATAGACGTAGATGTCTATGGGCTACAGCATCTACTTACTATCAGGTGGACTGGGTGTTCGTTTGTCATCATTATTCTATAAAAAAAAAACGGACTCGTTGGCAGAAAAGAAATTATACCACTAAATAAACAGTCAATTTTTTTCATTTCTTGATATACAGACTACATATCCAAATAAACTACATAATCTTATTTTAATAATGGGAAATAACTGTACAGTAAGTAGGCAAGTGCGGTATTTACGGCATAAATTTTAGGTCGTGTCACATACATACATACACAGACAGGCACAAGCACTACGTAGATATTCACGTTCCGTGAACACAACGATCGTAGATACCATTACATTTTGCCCTGTAAAATATATGTTGTATTATAATAATCGATATAATTATATTCAATCAAAGTCACCTATTTAACTAGTTCTGAGTAATATGATAATGCGTTTTTAATATCAGTTTTTACCATTTAAATTTAAAATATGCTACAAAATTAAGTACAACGGCATTAGAACCGCAACTGTTAAATTCCGTAGATAAAATAATTTAATAATAAATCTCGTTTGCTAGGCAAGACATGCAATAACAGCAAATTATTGTTGTACCATAATGTAGGATTATTTTTACTAATAAAAAATAGCACGGATCGCTGACAAACTCTCATTTAACATGACAAAAAAAATGTCTACAATTTTAAAATAATATGCGAAACACTTGTGTAGTGTGAAATTATCGTAAATTAATCGGGTGTCCATGTTGAGTGGCGCGTGCGCATATCTACATTCGTCGTAAATTGCGCGACATGAGGAATTTAAACATCATACCAAAACCGTGGCAATGTGGCACCAAATGTGGCAAATGCCGTAACATTGCAACAGTGCACGATACTTATACTTTTACTACTGCTATGAGCCGCCGGCTTTACTTTAGTATTATTTAAAGGAAATATTCCTTTAAAGAGCTTTAACTTTTTTCCAGCGATCCAACGACGATAGTCAATGGATGGCATGTGCAATTTGCAATAAAATAACGTTGATCAATTCAGTGTGTATAAAATTGTATTAAGTTTATTTCATAAACTATGTTTCAATAGTAATTATATGATAACTTCGACGTTTTTACGCGGTAAAATATAGTAGACGTTTTTTTCACCACTCCATGCCGTCTCGTGATGGGAAATACCAGAAAATCTCATAGGATTAGACACATGGCCGTGTCACAATCTAGTGAAAGCCAGATGTAAATAGTGAGAGCGGTGACGGGTAGCAGCGTCTCAAGGTCTAGATGTCTGATAGTGATACCGATAAATCTACCTGCCAAAGTTGTCGGTTGTGGCAAATCGTCTCTATAATGAAAGAGGCCGATGTCCAACAGTAGAACGGTTACGGGCAGAGTTTACAATTGCTTAAAATTTGTTACATCGAACATTGCTTTAAAATTGCTATTTTTTATGTTAATTATTTTGTACGTTAGTCATATTATATAATATAGTAGCAATCACAAAAATAGAGAATGTAAAAAGTAACATTTCTCTTTTTGGAAATTGTAGAGCTATACGAGACATTACGCAATTCAAATTTTAAATTTGGGTAATATTAATATTACGGTCGCCATTTCCTGCACTTACATAAGAAGCAGCATTTCTGCTGTGAGACGGCCTTGACGGAGCTGGCCGTGCGGGCTGTGGTGGCACCTTTAATTGTCTTCTATCAAATGAGGACGCGTGACTTCCGGACCAGCCCCAGCGGCTCGCTCCGTTGGAACCATGAGGCAAAGAATACGAAGACTGTGGCCTCAAATGCCTTACATTAGGGCCGGACAATATAGGGCCAGCCGGACCACGTTGAGGTCCTGCACTGTTTGGTCCTTGCACATAATGGTAGTGCGGGGGATTCGACACTGCAGCGCCCCACATACTATTAAAGCACTTTTACAACACTCGCTAGCACAACACTAAACACAATCACCACATCGCACCGACAACGATTGCACTACTAACGCAATTTGGCATTCCATAGGTTTCACAAATCACCTTATCAGCTAAATAGTGATAATTGACCGATGATTTTCTTTTTATTATTCCACAACATAGCGATAACGCGCGGACCGAACTACCAATCTGCAGTGAGCGGTTCGAGCCACTGTTCGCGATAGAACACACGCTTCAAAACCATCACTTGGAAAGCAAACATCGCCGGATGCATATGCTACGCGCCAAGAATAAATTTATATTTGATGAACAATTGTTACGTACGTAAAAGGTTACTAATGAACTTGGCGTATGTAAACGCCTACACGGTTTACTTTTAAACTAAATTTCGGTCACTGAAGCCGTATTAAAGATACACAGACCGTTTCGAAAATCACAAACGGTGACAACAGCGGAACAAAACGTAAGCACCGTTCACATTAAATGAGATAGCGAACAAATAGGGAATGTTTTGTAAACGAGCACTATAAAAGTTTTCATCACTGAATATCATAATTCAATAGTAACTTATAGCGTCACTCGATGGTTCCAGTAGAGCGAACACCGCAAGAGAAATCAGACTCGACACATCCAATCCATCGTGATGGACGGCGTGTGAGTTTGAACGCACTTGACTGTAGACTGGTTGCGTGCTGGCGCTGCCGGTGGTTCCACGCAACGGAGCGTTCGACGCCAACCGTCCGGTCCTGGCAATTGCATTATAATTTTTCGCAAGGGCGCGCGGGGGGGAGAGCGGCGGCAGTGGAGCGTGCAGCAGCTGCTTTGCGGCCGCAGCTCGACGAAACTTGTGCACTGAGCGCTAACTCGAACACAACATGTTCACACTGCGTAAGTCAACACCCACCGAATCCACAGTTCATGATGTCGACCTTTAATTATGTAAAATAGTACTCAGTAGACTCAACCGCTTATAGTTTAACGCAGATTAGATTTGCGCAATCTCATCTTAACACAATATGGTACTTTATCTATATATGTCTAAACTGACTTCACCCGCGTGTAATTTAGAGTTTCAATTTTGTTGCGCGGAACCCTAATTATTTTTCTAAAATATAAGTAGCCTAAATTATTGCTTATAACATTAGCTATCTGCCAGTGAAAGTCCCGTCAAAATCTGTCCAGCCGTTTCGCAGATTAGCTGGAACAAACAGACAAACAGACAGATAGACCGACAGACAAAAAACCTAAAAATTGTGTTTTTGTTAAAGTATCGCATATACTTTCATATGCATGTAGTAAAAATTTGTTATTGTGACGTTACAAACAGACACTTCAATTTTACTTATTTGTATAAATTGAAAATTTGTTATAAAATAATGTAACGAATGAAACGTCGAAGCGAACATGAAAGTCGGCAAAATAAAGTTACAAAAGTTTCGTCGCCCCGCGACGGCAAACGTCTAAGTATGGATAAGTGGCATTAGTATTCCAAGTCCGGTGCACGGCTGTAGAAGCGGGGTGAACTGTCCCGAAAAGTCACCGCCCGACTAACCGTGAGTCGCATGTGGAAGCGACCTTTGTGGCCCGCATACATTCCATGCTTTTACAGCAGAACTACGCATCACCATAACCGTACGACATTGGGCAACGCGACCCACATACATTATTTGTTTTACGGTCCGTTAGATTTTTATAGGTCCCGTTGTCCTATTCAGATGCGAATAACTTGGTAAAATTGGTGAAGTATATTATAGAATTATGTTTGGAGCAAAATATAAGAACAGTAAGGACGTACAAACGAACAGTTGTAGAGCAACACCAAATCAAATCATCTGAATGTTCTGCAACAGGTGCGCCAGACTTGCATTAGAATTTAGTTTGGAATGCACTTGGTCCCAAGTGCATTCCAAACTAAATTCTAATTCTATTTTAAAACTAGCTGTTCCTCGCGACTTCGTCCGCGTGAAATTGGGATTGGATTTCATGGATTTCATGGGTTTTAATTTTTTTGCACGGAACCCTAATTCTTTTCCTAAAATAAAAGTAGCCTATGTTACTCCTTATAACATCCGCTATCTGCTAGTTAAACTCCCATCCAAATCGGTTCACAGGTTTTTGCGAGATGCGTGTTCAGATAGAAGTCGTGTTAGAGTTATTTATTAAAAAAAAAAGATTACACATAATATAAAAATATGACTCAATTAAGTTTTACAGAATGTTACTTTATTTTAAGTAATTTCTCCGTTATATTTACTTCTTATTTCTTTCTACTTCTTAAACAGCCTGAGATAATTTACGGCTGCATTTGGACCACTTTGGTGGAAGAAATTGCAATATAATTGACAATCACATTTACGATCACAGTATCTGATGTTTTGCAACTTTGACTCTGTCCTCCGTCGGCCATAACGGCTATAAAATAATTGTCTTACTGACATCTATCACAGGTCACGAAGACCATCTGACCTTTCATCAGTTGCATCTTAGGCCACCCACGGGCCCCTCTGGACGGGTTTCCGCCTTGTTGTGCGGAGAGAGATTAGTAGCCGTGGCTTGGTCACTTACGGTAAACAAAAAGAAACCCATTTGGCTGGCCCAAGGTGTAGGACCGGACCGAGGTGGCCGCTCCAAATGGGCTGTCTTAGCCCACTCCACTTCTTCGGGATGTTCTCTTATATATGTCGGGGTGGTTTATTCCTTGTGTGATGCATGTCAGTTATTTATGTCGATTGATTAGAGATAAGCTATCTTAAGATTAGACAGCTATACTCAGATATACCTCAAAACTTGAAAAGAAGATTGTACAACCAGTGCGTGTTGCTAGTGATGACATAAGTCATAAGAATATGAGACGTGGTCCTTCACCGCTCACCGTATAAGGAAGCTCAAGGTCGCTTAGCAAGTTAAGTTTATCTACGTGATAAAATTAGAAATGGGGAGAACCACAGTAACCCACATAGCCCAACGGATTAGTAAGCTGAAGTGGCAATGGGTAAGCCACATAGCTTGAAGAACCGACAACGGATGGGAAAGCAACGTTCTAGAGTGTCAGCCTCGTACCGGTAGGTGAGGTGTGGGGCGGCCTATTACTAGATGGTGTGACGACATGGTAAGACATGCAGTAAGTCGGTGGTTCAGGACCGTGCTTTGTGGCATTCTTTGGGGCGACCTATGTTCGGCAGTGGATTTGTGAAAGGCTGTAATGATAATGATGAAGCTATCGTGATTGTTTTTGCGTTTCTATTTTTATTTAGCTTGTGAGGTTCCGCAGCATTTATGTTACTTTAGAGTAAATAAGGTTACGATGATACTGATGACAACAAAAACTAATAGGAGTCACTTAACTAAATGTGACTGTCAATTATAGTGCACTTTAGAGATAGGATCTATTGCAAAATATTTAATCGTGAATTAATTATAAAGAATTATAGCCCTTAAACAATTTCATAAATGGTCATGAGTGGCTAATGTTTTGTAAAATGAGTTCTATCTTCCCCTTATTGTTCAAATGAAAAATATAAAGCAAACAACATAATACGTGTGGGAAACAAAGGTTTGCGTTAAAACATGCCATAATCCACAATAAATTCCGAGTCGAACAATAAGCACAAACAAATAAGAGAAACTAAAACACGGCCACCGTAAATGACATAACATTAAACAAATCACAGTCCAGTTAACAGCAAATTGGAGGAAACTATACCTTCACAGCAATATCAAGCATATATTGAGCAATAATCGGTTACTTTTATTATTGTTCGAGTTTGAAGCAATTACTTGTAATCTATTTTTTTTTATTGAATCGTTTTTGATAAAAGATGCGAGAAAGTAGTTTTTATGATTAAGTAAAAAACTTTTCTTTAAAAATTATAATATTTAAAGCACTTTGATATCTATTTACCTTTCCACTAAATAGAACACTAAATAAAAAATACCTATAACTTCATAGTAATATATCAAATGATCCCATCGGAATGCGATATTTTATGATTGTATCTCGCATGTAATTAAAATTAAGAAGTGATAGAAAATAAAATTCTTTGCCAATTTAGGCAGGCAGTATATATAACGACAATTATTAGAGCTGACCTTCATATGGCATCCGAACGCTACAGCTAACGTAAACATTGCAAACATCCCATTTTGCGTCATTCGGAAACGCATTAGGAAAACGTGATGCTTTATGAGCGCAATATCCGACCGGCATAGCACCGAGTACCGGTAGCACAATACTTGGTATGACATTACATTGAGTAATAGAAAGCGGTTTTAATTTACGCATCTAAATATTCCACTTTATATTGAAATCCTATATACTTTATGAAAATGTTGTGTTAGTTATTAAAGAAAAATAGTATATAGTCGTATAAATAGTAAAAACAAATACTCATTTATATTAGCAAGTAAAAAATCAATAAATGCATGTCGAGAGTAAAAATATTAAAAACCAGCCTTGTTTTTAACTATATAAACTCTACGAGAATGCTTACTCTGTAAACCTTGCCTTTCCTCCAAACGGTTGGTTTTATTTTTTAGATAAATTTATAATAAATTCTCGAGCAAACAATTATAAAAAAACTCATGATTATCAGAAAGTAAATATATGACGTAAATACCGACACCATAGTAAGTAAAAAAGCAAACAAATACTGAGCTCGATAATTAAAAGAAATGTAAACCAGGCTTCAAATTGTTATGGAATATGTTTACAATTTAAATAAGACCACTGTATAAGTCAACTCGTCTGATAAAAAAATCAGCAATATCCTTAGAAATATGTGAGAAATACAGTCCAATTTAAAACCTTTTCCTTTTCTAAAATTAATAGAATGTCAGCCACGTGATAGAGCCAGGCAGCTTTAGCTGTTGCACCAATGGGCTGGCTCGGCCGTGGTGGTGCCACAGCGTCACAGAATACCACCGTGAATAAGAAGTATTTAATTCCTACGTTTCGCCTGGTGAGTGTAAGTATCCGGTGGATCAGCTTCTTAACAATTATCTCATTACCTGCGGTATAATCTAGGTTTTTAAATCTCTTTGAAATAGGGTTTTAGTTTAAAAAAAAACGAAAATACATAATATAATATAATATAAAAATATACTTATATGTCAGATGAAGTTACTAGTATCGATAGCTTCTATTTGTTCCAAGTGTTTTCAGTCTTAACTTATTTTCCACATCCTGTTACTCTTCGAGCAAACTTTGTAGCAAACCTTTAAAGTTTCTAGACGGGAATTGTAAATCCTACAAGATATATATTTCATTCTTTACGGCCAACTCTTACAACAGATTTTTCATTTTCTTATTATTATATTAAAAGTAAAAGACGTTCAAACTAGGAGACTATAAGTAGTATATAAATGGTATTATAAAGTATAAACGCTTCATTTTATTTATTTTTAATTACATATTGATCCTGCATAATATTGATTTTGATTTATCACCTTGTATTTATTTATCATTCAGAAAACTTAACAACATTAAGCAATCAGTGTTTCGTTGAAACATTTATGTTCTTTTTTATACTTTCTTTACAAAAAATACTATACTAATAATATAACCTTAAACCGAAACTAACCTAAAAGAATAATCTGCCTACCTTATCTACAAAATTTTAAATTAAGTTACGTACCTATATATATATATATATATACATTTATTAAGCATGGAAAAGGTTTGATT